GGGTAGTACGAGTTTCGTAACATTTAAGTTATAGGTCGATTTCTTTCTTGTAAAAGTAACTAACTAAACGTAATAGTCAGAAATTATTATGTGTGTGCATGTGTGTGTGTGTGTGTGTGTGTGTGTGTATATATATATATATATATATATATATTATAAAGAAAGAAATAGACCATTGCAAAAACTAATCACTGTTGTTATTATTAAAAGACAATAAACGAGGAGAAATATACAGAGGTTGAGTAAGCGATATTAAAACGATTTTTAAGCCTCATCACACCATTTAAAACCACGCCGCCACGTGTGGTCATACCTTATCTGACGACAAGGATCTTGACAACAGCTCTGCGGGATAATTTCCAATGCAAAAGGCTCTGTGGCAAAACTGTTCAAAGCACACCACTTCTTGCTTAGTATTCATAAGCCACATAGTGTACAATTACGGCAGTTTCTTAGCGCACGTTTCAACAGCCAAAGCACATAAAAACACATAACGTTGCATCTGGTAATTTTACCGGTATTTAGTTTTATGGAATATCATGAATATTTGTTTCATTCTCCAGCTGCTTGAGGTATGCAATGGTTGATTAAATACGTCGTGGAAGCAACTTGTATGCATGTGTCTTGTTTCGCTTTTCTCGATAAAGATCATGCTTGCTTATGTCTTGTACTATTGCCTAGCACTCGTGGACGGCTTTTGCCACTGACCTTTGTGTTCATGGATTCGCAACTTTTACAAGATGTCACGCTTTGCTTACATGGCTGGGGTACGACTTGTTACAGGTCTCTTTCTGGATTATCCTGGTGCCTCAGTTTGATCCATATTACTTTCTTTTGTAATACCATTAGCTACAAAAGATATCCCCGTTTTGGAAATTCTAAATCCCGATCGAAATAGATCTTTATGATTTGAGTGTATGATTACTTTAAGTAAGGATCTTTTATGTAGGCTGTACTTGTCACGTGACTTGCCGATTTACACATTCAAAATCGTTTTACTATAGTTTACTTAAATCTCTGTATGAATAAGACATAACGTAATAGTATCAAAAATGTAAAAAATAAAAGTGTAAGTTTCTTATGAAAAAGAGAAAACTGGTAAAAAGTTGATACTAAGTTCATTTAAAGCTTGCAAAAAATGATTACAACTATACTTTTCATAAGATATTAGTATTAGGTCTATTACATTTTTAAATACTACATTCGTTATTTAGTCTCTTAGAGATTATCAAGAGTTAGAAGAGTGTTTAATAATAGTATTCCAACAACACTACATTTGTTATATTCCTTGTCTACGACGCGTTTTGCTCAATACAGAGCTCTTCAGACCGGCTGGATGCAACAAATATTATAGTGGTCGGAACACTATTTATATAAGCCATTTGTTACAACAACAGTTGTTATGGTATGTACGCCTTTTACAAGCAGATTAAGATATTATATTTCTCATAAGACACTAGTATTAGGACTATTATAATCAAAAGCTAAATTCATTAAAACCAATTTTAACTGATTTCAACAATCTGAGAAGATTAAACTTCATTATTGGCAGAATGTCAGATTGGAGATACACATACACTGCCCTATCAAAAGTATCTGGAAAGGGGATCTAAGTGATTCCTTTCCAAATATGGTGAAGATCATTCGTGACCTGAATAACTGCAGCTGTTCTACAAAGTATAACCGTGAATAGGTTCTAACAGGTGCCTGTTAGTTGCTGATTAAACACTAGTCATTTGATAAACTTAAAAGCTACGATCTAACTTGCATGTCTATTTCTCCAAGTGGCCCTAAAGATGTTTAATACAATTAACATCTGTGTTATGGTTGAGTCATTCAGACACCTTGATATTATTACATTAAAACGAAGCACGAATCTTATGCAGAAGAAATACACATGGCCTACTGATAATAATAATAATCAGTAACACTGTTACTTGATAACAGCGTATGTTTTGGTGTGAAGTCATTATGCAGTCAAATTGTTCACCTGCCTGCATCCAGGTATATGTTTGACCATTAACTTGGCAGCTCTAATCACTTCACAACATTTCGAAACAATTTGTGAAGATTCTCAAACTAAATTTTTTACACCAAGAAAAAAAAAAGCCAAATATTCATGGAAAACACGGCGAAAGTAAATTAGAGGCAAAACACTTCTTGTTACTTGTTTGCAAAGATCTTTTATAGCACTTGTAATATGTCTGTTTGTATATGCTATAAAAACACTTTTGGAAAACTTTTATTTTTTAATGTTGTTCACTCACATTTCTCATGGTACTATTAAATACACAATTCTAGTAGATACAGCATGAACAAACATTGGGATTATATCACATATTGAGTTTTGATCCACACCTAGAGCATCTTGTAATCTCTTTGCTCAAACTTGCTTGGTTCATGATGTTTTAGTATCTTGCACACACTTCAGCATCACTAATGTACCATGTTAATGCTCTCCAATGCACATTCACATCCGAATGAAGAACACTCATCTTATGTGAGTATGCAAAACACACTGATCACCTGAAGTGTTAAGTGATAACATGAGCACGATAAATAAACAAAATGCAGTCAAATGTACCTGCAAGACAATGGGTAGAAAAACGTCATTCCTGACTTTCAAAGGAGCATGATAGTTGGTGTTCGTCACCTAACAAGAATATTCTTATAAACGGTATTTTCGATCACTGGCTGTGCAGAGTAAAATAACAGTGGAAATGAAAAAAATAAACATGGCTGCCACCAAGATTAAAAACTATAATCAACAACTACCGGTGACTAAGATAAAAACAAAAAACAACTATTGTACAGGGTTTCAAAGGACGCCAAAAGACTATCTCATAACTAACTGATGCAAAAAGTGTTTCAACTAAATTTTATTTTATAGTCCAGGTGCTGAATTCAAGGCTTTTTCAGCAGTGTCTTCAGTTTATAAGATATAGTTGCAACAATGAGTATACTTCTTATTGGAAAACCTTACTCAGCTAGTAAAGAAGGATTAACTCAAATTACGACGAATTTTATTGTGGTATAATATCGCACCTATTACTAACTAATTGATCATACTTTGCCAGCTTAGGTGTTATGTCACAGGTTTATAATCTATGGTTTATACACTACAGTGGAAATACACTACACTGAGTGGAAACGTTTCGGTGCCTTCTGAAGCCCTTGCTACACAGAATCCAGGTTGTTCTGGCAAAGAAAGGTGGTGTAAACTAATATTAAGTAAAAGCCCTAACAAAATGGTGACATTAATATAAATAACACTGAGATCTTTCAAAGGATGTCAAGATACTTTGAAAAGATAATGTGTGTGTATCCTACATACGTATACCATGTTTGTGCCTAGCCAAAGATTGTGTGTGTGTGTGCGTATAATTTGTATCATGCATACTTGTATCATTTTGGGCTTATTTATGTATGTGTGTGTGTGTATATGTATGCATGTGTGTGTGTGTGCATGCGTGTGTGTGCGTGCGTATAATCTGTATCATGCATACTTGTATCATTTTAGGCTTATGTATGTATGTATGCATGTGTGTGTGTGTGTGTGTGTGTGTGTATTTCCTGATATCTATAACATTCTTATGCTTAGCTAAAGATAGTCTGTATACATATATCTGTATCCTGCATACTTATATTTTTCTTGTGCTTAGCCAAGGATAGTGTATGTATATCTGTATTCTGCATATTTATATCAATGCTGTGCTTAGCAAAAGGTAATATGTAGAATAAGACGTATACACTGTCATTGTTGTGGTTTTCCTTTAGGCAGTTTAAATGATAATATAATTTTTATATTGTTTTAAAACGTACACAACAACAACAAAGTAAATTTAGGATATACGTCTTTTATGAAAACGGAGTTTTATATAATGTCTTATCAAAAACATTCGAATAAGACTGTTAAATATGAAAAATAATACTTACTTTTAACATTCCTTCCATGTCTAACTGCAATATATCTTCTTTACAAAACTGAAGTATTGCTACAGATATTCTGAAAATACTTTCCATACCCTGTACAAAGAGAAATACATTGAACAAAGTTAAACGATTGGTGAAAAAACAAACTAAAGTTGAAAGAGTTAAAGAAGTTGCAGAAACATTTAAGTCTATGTAAAATCAACAAATATCAAACATATTTTCGTATGTTGAATTATGTGACACACAAGACTCACCTCAGACAGCAGAAGATCCATGACTCGGCAGGCTAGCTGGAAAGGTAAGGAAGCAGTGAAGACTGTTAAAAACCAAGAAGATGCATACATTGAAGTGTGGAAACTCTGAGATTGAAGATGTATGTGAATTTCGGGTAGAATCTCCTGTGCATAAATCAATGAAGTTATAAGAATTAAAAATATCAATTCAAAAATTGATTACAATAACCCACTATTATGTACTGGGTCATTTATATTACATAAATAATTACATTAAACTGTTTACTGCTATTAAAAATATTCATAACAAGGTCACAGCAAGCATGCTTTGAAAAAGTCATTCAGTTTTAAAGCACTAACAAATACTGAAGGTCAGTATTAATAATCAAGTTACAATGAATGATTGTACAAAGAAATTGTATACAACTTTGTCTTGTTACCCACAATTTAGGTAAAACTAAAAGGTTCAAGTTTCCATTTTAATATCAAAAGGAATGTAACCTAATTATTGGAATTGTAAAATGTTTCCCTTACGTAAGTGTGTTCTTGTGAAAACAAGTTGGATGTGTAGGAACTGTGAAAGGATAAATGGCTCCATTTTATATTACCAGTCTTTATACTAAAACTTTCACTGTACATTAGACACGGTACCTTCTCACATGGACTAAAAGTTTCACTGTACATTAGACACGGTACCTTCTCGCCTGGACTAAAAGTTTCACTGTACATTAGACACGGGGCCTTCTCGCCTGGACTAAAAGTTTCACTGTACATTAGACACTGTACCTTCTCGCCTGGACTAAAAGTTTCACTGTACATTAGACACGGGGCCTTCTCGCCTGGACT